TGAATAAAAAAGCAGTTTCTTATTTGGCTCGTAAATATTCTCTGCGGCAGAAAAATGGACTTACTATTTAGATTCTATGATAGTGTATGCTAATATTTGTTTAATATATTATATTAAATTTTTTCAGAAGAATTTAGAATGGTCAGGAATATTGATTAATATAAAATATTTCACAGTACCTTATGCTTGTTCTGCACTAGTGTCTACAGACAGTGAATTCTGTAACTAGAATGATTCACACACAAACACAAACTGCAGCTATATTTGATTTTTTAATTCGTATTAAATTCCTTTTCAGGTAAGAGCCTTACATGCAGAGAAAACAGCCCTTGTTTTATTCCATTTTACAGCTAAGAATCAATATATTAAGGGAAACCGAACAGTTTCTTTAATCTTCAGTTACGTTTCGAAATTTGAAATTTAAAATATTAATTTTTAATTAATATTTTAAATTCAAATTTTAGTAGATGTTTGCTTGCTTTACTGTTTGTCTGAAGATAGGGATGTCATCTTAGCGGGGAAACTGGGGCGTATTTACGTTTCACAAGTAAAAACCATGAAAACGTCTAAGCATTAGCCAACCCATTCAGGCCAGACTACCATTATTCAACTGTTTTATCCCATCGGGCGATTGGTGGGATCTTATCATTTGAAGTGTATTTAATTGGAATACTTAGAGAGTGTAAAGGAAATAACGTAAAGAACGTATATTCAAAAGAGATAAAACTATTATATTAATTTTTATGATAATTTTGGAATATTAAGTTTGGGATTTTCGTTTAGTACATGATAAAATGTACTTATGTTTTAGTCCATCGACCGTGAAAGTTCGTTACCATCGAATTTTTTTGAAGGAACTGATGCCTCTTTATTTAATAAACAATCAACATTCAACCCGCCTCATTTTTGAGCTTCTTCGAAAGGCTAAGCCCCCAGATTTTGCGGGAAGCTTTGCTTAGAACGCTATTAGTACAACTTTTCCGCAGGTAAATGTTCCGATCTATTACCGTTTTGTCGGCCATATTCAGAGGCTTTTTTGACGGTAGGACACCAAAACTTTAAAACTAGTCCACTACTTGTTGTTCTATTGAAAGCGGGTCCCAAATCGTAATCATTTTTTTTTTTTTTTTTTTAACATGCAAAGAAGAAAAACAGCAGCAAGAGTTATCCTTGTTCATATATATCCTTGTTCATATATATCCTTGTTCATAAAAACTAAAGTTAGATCGGAGATACATCAAACGAAAGGGCAAGCGTTATGAGTGTTTTGTTACGTTACGCTTGTCCATAACTGGCTCTAAATCACGCTGCTTGGGGATGGTTTCACGGTTGATGGCATAATACGTAAGTACCCGACAAAAATTTAAAAGAACCTCAAAGTTCTGGTTTGTGTTTTTCCTATTTTCAGTATTTAAATCTGAAGTTTACCGCTCTGATTTCTTTTTAAATAATTATGATAACACCTATTGTTAAAGAAGGTATAAATTATTCATGTAAATATTTATGTTTCCAGTTCCAGTTGCCTCTGTCGCCGCGTCTAGCTTGCTAAGGATGCAAGTTGTATACCGGCTATCGTAACATATGTGCTTCCAGGAGCGATGCAAGTACAAAATGTTTGAGTGGGTCCAGAGTACAGGATGCAAGTTGGCGACTCCTTAGTCACGTGAGGGATGTGAAAAACATTTAACAGAATTAAATAATACATAAAACATAAAATATATATTTTCCCCAGAAAATAGGCCACTATTTACAAGTATATGCCATGCTAAAATAGCAAAAAGCCTTACAAAAATTAGGAAAATATTTAGAATGCTTGCACGATATGAAGTTGTAATAATTTTAAATCCTATGTAGAAAATTTTGTTTTTTCGTTTAATATAAAAGCTGTGAAAAGGCGCAAGTGCTGATCTTCTTGCAGACTTTTATAGTTGAAGAGATTAATATGATTCATGCAATCTTTTGTGCTGTGATGGAATTGCTTATTAATCTTGTGTAAGAACTTTGCAAAGGGTTCTACTTTGAGGTCATCATGAAGACACGTATTCCATACAAAAAACTGGGCATCTGTTATGATATGCAGGTATCTGATTCATGTTTCGAGTTCTGGATATCTTTTTATATTATGCTCCTTATTGTTGGAAAAGCAAGAATTTGCATAAATATTTTTGGTAGGAGAGTGGAGCGAAGGAACTAGTGCCTTGAACTTGGTCAGCTCGGCCACTGTGGGACAGGACTGAAATCTGAACTGAAATCAGATGTGCAATTTGATTCAAATAATTAGGCAAAAATAATTTTCTAGCTAGACTCCACTGATTAAATGTCTGGGTATAAACGTGGCAAAGCCGTTTCATTAAAATCCTATTCGTCCGAAAATTCATCGCACCCGTCGAAGTGCACACTGCACCTCCCACTCCCTCCTCTCCACTCTCCCAGCAGAGGGCTCATGGAGGTAAGAAAGGAAGGAGTGGCCAGCTCAGCACTAAGAGTGAAAAGTTGCTCCGAAGCTTCCGTCCATCATGACAGTTCCATACAAATCGAAAAACGAGACACTTCCGCATAAAAGAAACATACATTGTGTGATGGATAATAGCAATTTGTATAGTTTAGTGACATTTATGTAAAAATCACCTCTTGAATATTTTTCGATAACTAACAACAGCGATTTTGATTATGAATTTGTTTTATAAAACTCTAAGCTGTTGAACTACAAAAATATTATGAAATTAAAGAATGAAAAATACCTTACGGTACCTTTAAAATTGTATACGTCTTTCGGTACCCTTGATAGAATATTCGTTACTTTTATTTTATGTTCCAAAGGCAAAAATGTTTCAAATAAAAATAATTTTTTTTGTCATCCATATATTATTGTAACATGTACTTCTTAAGAATTTTTAGAGGAGAGGTTTGGTTTATTTAATTATGGCAAAGCACACTAGGGCTATCTGCCTAAGGGAAGAGATGCCTTCGTGGACGACTTTCTAAAGAAAACTGGATAGGGAAAACCACAAAAACGCCCATGTAGCGAGCCCGTTCGCGGGATTCGAACCTCGGACTGAACTACCAGTGTTCAGCGACTTTACCGCTCGGCCGCTGGTAGGCTTTTAGAGAAAAGACAATATAGTTACTTATATTAAACTCGTCATTTTATTTTTATATAACTGAAAAATAATCACTTTATGTTTACACTTTCTACTTATCAGGGTTAATTGAAAAGTAAAATTACCACAAAATGCTGCAATCCTCGTCAAAAATTAATACATATACACACAGATATGCCAATAAGTTAACTTTTTCTTGATTTGTAACCACACATTTGTGTAAAATTATGTACAGTGTCATACAGATGTGAGGAACAGAAGACGGATACTGTGATAATTACTGTGAAGAAATCTAATTACTAAATGTATTAAATTTATAATGATTATGAATATTATCTAAATATATAATAACCTTAACTTTGAGTTGTAAACATAAACTGAAATATGTTGACAAAATGCGTTTATAAAACTATTTAATCAAGAATTATTCGTACTGGAAAGCAATCTGTTAAAAGGTATTGTAATATAGAATATGCATTATATTGTATGAATATGTATTGATTGTGGAATATGTATTGTTGAAATTAAGAGTAAAAGAATTATTCCCCTTACATTTTATAATAATTCTGTTATAAGTTTTAAAAAATTATTTAAAAAAAATCCTTTTCTTATTCCCTTTGAGAAATATTCAGAGAAAGTTAAGTCCTTTTTTACGTATTTCGCTATTAAAAAAAAGGTGTTCTAATTTGAAATGGACTGAATAGAGCATTAATTATAAATTCACTTAAATTTTTCGATTTAAAAGATGCCCCAGAAGCTAAAAAATTATGTCATATTTGAGAAAGTATTTTAGGAAGAAGAAATATCAAATGGGAAACGATAAATGCTTAGTGATATTTACTCCAGATCAAAATTTTTAAAGCTTAAGTTTCATATTATTTAATAGTTCGTATTTAAAATAGATTAATAAATTTTTTTAATCGTTTCAGTACAATATATCAGTCGTTCCGAAAATTACTTATGCCTGTGTTATCAAATAATAATTTTCGTATTTTGGAAAGAAATTTTGTACAAAACGTTAATTCTATAATTTATTAGCAAATGTGAGCCAGTTTTCCTTGGAATGTCCTCGACGAAGTTTTCCTCCTTCCTTAGGCAGGTATTCTTTGTTTGTATTTAGATGTATTTATGTAAAGCTTAGGATTATTACGTTATGGGAAGTCACGCGGGGGCTATCAGCTTAAGAGAACGGGTGCCTTCGTGGAGAACATTTTAAGGGAACTAGTTCATGTTACACATCGGAAAACTCATAAAGCCATCTCAATCACTGGGATTTGAACCCGGGTCGAACTACCATTGGTAAGCGGTTTTACTACTCAGACGTTGGAAAGCCGTATTTATTTACCCAAACTTATTTATTAAAAATAATACGTCCCTGATGTTTTTTACCTTCGCCAGGCCCGTTTGGGACTCATTAAGAAACTGGTAAGAGCAGGATAGGAAATCTCCTACTGTGGACCAGTGTGTTATAAATGTATTAAGAATGACGGATGCCAGTGCCTTCTAAAAGTATCTGACATAATAAATAAAAAACACTGAAGCATTTTGAATTGTATTGCTAATCTTATTGACAAGCTTAATAAATAAATCTTAGTCGTACTTCTAAACGTTTACTAAAAAATAAGCTTTCTAATTTTTAGAAAATTCTAGTTTCCACGGATTTAAAAAAAAAAATAAATAAATAAAAAATTGATATCTTTAAAATAATCTATCTTCTGAATCCGGACTTCGACATTTATTGATACCGAGCAAATATTGCAACTGTTCAGAATTTGCCATATGTTTTTTTTTTTTTTTTTGTTCCTTTTATCAGAAGAAAATGAGTGTTACTGAATATTTCTGTTTCCTTTGAAATGGGGATATAGTATTTTATCAGTAAGATTACCTTCTTAATTGCTCATGCGCCGCTCTTCCAAAAGGATAAAAGTAGCAGATACTGATACAGTTCTTCCAGACAATATCTTCGCAGTTTAGACGAGGTAAGTATTTTGTACAACATTTTATTTACATTCTGCGTTTCGTTTTAATTGATTATTTTCATATCAGTCATTGTACGATTATTTATGTATGTTCATTTGAGATTTTCATGTTTTATATTCACTTCACGTATAAGGATAATAAATAATAAATGCTAAATGTAAAAATAAATGTGATTTGTTTTATTTTCCATTATTTGTAAGGAGAACAAACATTTCTTGACATTTAAGCCCAAAGTGATTATGCAAAGTCAGAAATTTTCAACTATTGCATTACAGCACATCGTTGTACCGCGAAAAGTAGTTTAGAAGAAAGTTAAAGACAGGAAATTTAGAAACGCATCTTGTAAATTTTTAGATCGGAACATGTTTCACAAAAATCTGATAAGAATAAAAGCTCGGAAACGTTTATTAAAATATCTAACTTGTTATCATTAAAATATGAATATTCTTACCGTTACTGTTTATACAAACAAAATAAATAATTGTAAATGAAAAAAATATAGCAAAATAATATTTCGTCATCTAGAGCACTACGTTATTCAAAATTTGCTTTTTTTATTTCATTAACCATTTCATATTCATTTGACAAGAAAAAGAAAAAAAGGAAAAGATACTTTAAAGCTCCCAAAACTTATATGAATGTGTCCGCTTTTTATTTACCTTTTCTCATTTTAGCAATGACAATAATGCAAATATTGACTTAAGAAACATTATTTTGAAAATCATTACTTTAAAAATAACAGAATGTCAAAAATTTCAGTAACTCACCTCTCGAACATAGTCTTAATACTCAGTTTTTGAAGCGATTGTGCGATTTAGCGACTTTATTTTCCCTGTTTGGTATGCTGCGCTAGTTAAATTTTTTGAAAATCTTTGCTGTAACAAGAAGAATAACACAATGCAGTGTTTACTAGATATTGAAATTTTATCTATGAAGAAAATCAAAAAATTGTTAAGACAAATCATCTTTCGAACATTTTCGAGATATGTGTTAAAACCATTTTTTCTTTTATTACATCATATTTACCCAAATAGACAAAATTTGTCTATAAATTTTGTATGCCCATCTGATGTAAATAAAAATATTTTGTGCTTTTTCAGGAACTCAAGGACTGCCACTGGAAAATGTTGCGTACATTCATAACGGTTTTGCTTGTAGCAGGTAAGTTTCTCAGGATCTTTGGTTGACAATAAAACGCAGTGTTTATTTTTTCTTGTAAATGTATACCTGTCAATGGCAGAGTATGTAAGACCTCTGAATAATATTGCAACTTTGCCCAGGTTCAAATTCATGCCAAACTGCTGGCAGTAAAGGAATTTCAAGGTTTTCCCCACGTTTAACCTCAAATAAGACCTATTTTCTCTCAGAAAGCCCTTCATGAAAATCATCCTATTCTTTAGGAAAATATTTTTATCGTCCGATTAGGATCTGAGATCTCGCATGTCACAAGCGTGAGGAGACTCGAGTTCCAAGGAGCCATCAAATCATTTATAAAATTTTAGAAACTAGTAAAAATGCTGTGTTCTAAGATGAAGGTCTTGCTTTGTGAATTTTTGCAATATTCAAATAAGCTAACCTCTAACTCTTAACGTAATACATGAAATATCGCTTTCCTTAGATAGATCTCCTTCATGCGGTTTGCCATAATAAAAGAAAAAAAGCAAACTTATTTTAAAAACGCTGTTTGTGGTATGAATCAGAAGGCATTCAAAATAATCACCGAGACAAAATCATGTTTGTCCTATCTGCAAACAAGGCCCACCAGCGGCCGAGCGGTAAAGTCGCTGGACACTGGTAGTTCGGTCAGAGGTTCGAATCCCGCGAACGGGTTTGGCTGCATGGGCGTTTTCGTGGTTTTCCCCATGTGTAACGTGTATACGAGCTAGTTTCCCTTAGAAAGTCCTCCACGAAGGCATCCCTCCTCTCTTAGGCAGATAGCCCTAGTGTGCTTTGCCATAATTAAATACACACACCACCTATCTGCAAACATCATCAACAGACGTTAAACATAAAGTACACATTAATAACTGATGCTTGTTTACGAGAGACTTACTAAGGAGCTTTGTTAAGAGTATTTTAGAAATACGCAAGAGTTCTGTTAATCAATGTCTATTATAGGCTGTAATCTGTGTTTGAGTACAAGCTGAGTCTGAGTTAAGACATGATGCATTGTAATTTGTTCAATCATTGCATTAGTGCAAACACAGATTATTAGAATATTTTTAATTCTTGTTGATAAAATACATATTGATCTATGAATATAGAGTAAAATTTCACGCTGAGCGATAGTGATTTCTTGTGAGTTCTAGATATCCGGTAAACAAGTTGTCCCTTCTATCGAGGAATTGCATTCGTTAAATGAAAGGCAAAAAGTAATTTTCTATGATCAGTTATACTAATTATTATTATTATTAATTGTATCAGTAGCATTTTATAATTTATCATTCATTGATATTCTAGATAAATGACACTTTCATGCTATTATTTTTTTAAGGATGATTTAATTTTTTGTTTAAATCTTGAATTATTTCTGTTTGGTTCTTGATGCCGTTATTATTTTTCTGAACTGTTGCTTTAACTTGGTCTGTGCTATAATTGATTGACGCTGTAAAATAGGGAAATCACTATAAAATTTTATATATACTATCAGAGTTCATACCTAGTTACTATCATAATTAGTGGTATTTAAATAATTTTTTACAGTCTTCCTTTAAGGTTTATTTTAAAATATTTTTTTGCCAAATGTCGCACGTGACAGAAAAACATGTCAACTATAATGGAAGTATAAGTTTTCGTTTCCATAATGACATTACTAATACATCTTCCAGGCTAATTTTACTGCTTTCCTGGTTTAGTAGATTTCTAGCATTCCGATATGGTTTCGCACATCCTCGACTCTGCTCTAGAGCACAGGTACATTTTAAGAATTTCTTGCTGAGTTAAGTTACTCTAAAAGATTGTTTCTAAAGATGGCTTAAATTCGATTATTTAATTTAACTGAGCACATGAGATCTATGTATCAAAACTCCATCCCTGTTTTGACAGCACCTTAGGGATTGAAATCTAACAACACGAATCCATCCAGCATTCCCTAACGTGAACTTCTAAACATTGTTTTCAAATCCACAGATATCAGCGCCTCCATTCCGCAAAAATATCACAACGTCCCTAACTTGGCCAAAACTGGAACACTAGCCCATCTGGGTGTCTAGTCAATATCGTGTTAAGTAATATACTGTCAGGGACAGCAAAACTATTAATTTTGAGAAATAAATGGTCGTGAACTATTAATAATTTTCTCACTATATTCTGCACTGTAATCTCACTTTGACTGAGAATGGGTCAAAAGCTAGTGTGATCTAGAGCATTCATGAATGCATAATATTAAGAACTTCCGAACTACAAAAAATACAAAAGTTGACGTTTTACATTGCAGTACTAACTTTTTTAAGTGACATGGTAAACATTCATGGATCAAGAGGCACATTACCTTTTGTCAGTCTGAAAATATGAGTTGCGATAGATGCATTTACTTAAATAATCATGGATTAGATTATTTGGATTTCGGCAAAGTATGCGATTGTTACCTGCTTGGGAAGGATGCCTCCATGGAGAACATTTTAAAAGAAACTGGCTCATATTTACCTAAGACACGGAAAAACCACAAAAAAATCCCCTGCAAGTAGCCTGCGGGTCTAAATTACCAGTATTCAGCAGCCGCTGGTGGGCTTTAAATAATTCTGATATGCTATCAAGCGTTTAATACCAATGAAGTTTTTTTGTCGCAAAATCTGTTTTTACTGCATTCAACGTCAAAGAATACAAATAAAATTTTTTATAATTTGTTAATCTCTGAAATGAATTTAAGTATCGTTTCCGGACTCATCGTTTAAACTGCGAATGCATAAATAATTGTCATTTAAATTTATCTAATGCTAGTAAAATGACGTCCTCCAGAAAATAACTGGTTTAAAAAAGAATACATAAATTTGAAAAAGTTTAGATAAGTCAATGTATTCACGGTAATTTTACAGAGCGTAAACAAAATTAATTACATCAAATAGTTTTTTTTAATGAAAGAACCACTCTGTTCCCATGAATTCCTGTAGCATTTTTTTAACACTTCAGTAAGTAACTGTTATTCGTTTCTACAAAAATTGTATAATGAACACATAAAATTCCAGCCCATACTGATGATTAAAGATAACTTCTTTAAAGCGTTTTAGCTGAGATTCCTAGAACGAGTTTTTGAACGAAAACGATTCCATAACAAATATTACGATATAAATTCAGACACATTTCGTAATTGAACCTTAAAGTGCGTAGTTAAACAGAAAAAACAAAACAAAACAAATCAAAACAAAACAAAAGAAAAAACTGTCCTCGTATGATTTACAGGATAGCAACATGGAAAGTACTTCCAAAAATTATTTGTAATTTAATTTTCTTTTCGTTTGCAATGTAACTTGAACGTGATGTGGGAATTCAAATGAAATACAATTAGACTTCCAAAAGCTTATAATAAAGTCTTTCCCCTGTAAGTAGATATCGTTCACGTGGTTTAGCTTGGTCAGTTAACCAACCAGTCTGTCTCATACTCTATAACAATATAAAAGATAAACTTTCAAAACTGACATCACTAATTTATCCGAGTTACGCTACTCTTGATTCAAAATTAGTTACATGTTATATGTTCAACAAAGAAGTAGGGAATTAGATTTATATCTCAGTTATACAACTGTGAGAAGTTTGGTTTCGCTTAATTAATTACGGCAAAGCCTCAAGGGCTATCTGCCTAGTGATGCCTTCGTGGAGGATTTTCTAAGGAAAACTGGTTCGTATACACGTTACACATGAGAAAAGCCACAAAAGCGTCCATGCAGGCAGCCGTTCGCGGGATTCGGGCCTCAGACTTAATTACAGGTGTTTACCGGCTTTATCAATCGGCCGCTAACGGGCCCCACTATGAGACTTTTTTATTTAAAATAAATGAAGTTTTAGTTATCATTTGATATAATGTTTAACGGAATCTCAGTTATTGTTTAATACGTTGGAAAAAATTTGGTGATACATAAATTTAACGCGTTTCTATCGCTTAATGTGTATATTGCATTTTACATGTCTAAAGTAACCTTGAAAAAGTCATTCATAATTCCCATAGCTTTAGAAATTTAAAGAAAATTGCTTATTGAGTATGATGAGAAATTTCTCACGCTGATAGCAATATGCAGTTATGAGCGGGAATAAAGAAATTTCTCACGCTGATAAGTTTATGCTGTTATGAGCATGAATAAAGTTTAGCGGTATCTTTTTTTCAAATATTTAACGGCAGGCAGATATTTGAATTCTTGCATTCATTTGAGCTTACTCAAAATCTGAACTCTTTTCTTTAAGTATGGCTTATCTGTATTTAATTCTCTATGTGATAATGCAGTCTCGAAATCAGTAGCGCATGTTCTGCAAATATGACCCTTCCCCGGCCAAAAAAATAGCGAGTTTTTTTATATGCTTATAAAGCAGAAGTGTTCAAATTTCTGGTGTCATTTAAACTTTATCTTCCAGATTTTAACCTTGACAGTTTAATTCTGGCAATGTAAATGTCAAAGATGATATTTCTTATCTCATTCAGAGTATTACAGGCATTTACTTCCATTTTAGAATGTCAGTAACTTATCTTTATTCTTTTGGGAATTATACTGACTATCTGATATTTCTATAGTAAAGATGTAAGGTCGATATTTCGGAAAAGAAATTGTCAACTCTGCTTACAGTTTTAATTTTTTTATTTATTACGTGCACCGCCATTAGTTACTACACGGAAAGGAATCGATGCTCCATGTAGGACGATTCAGGGAAACTGGTTTGTATCCACGTTAGATATGGGGAAAGCCCCGAAAGTGTCCAAAATTATGAAGCCAGCCCGTAAAAAAATAGAGAAATGAACTACTGACTTTTGATATTATCTGTCTCGTGCCTGAAAAGTTCTTTGTCTCAATTTAGCCTATTACTGTTTGCGTACAAAGTACTGAATTCAAAAGGAGACTTTCGTTGCGTAGTCAGTATCATTTGTGTAGGATTTATTGCATGATTTAGATTAGGCCAAAGCATGCGAGGGCTATTTTTCCAAAAGTAGAGCTGCCTTCGTGGAGTATTTTTTAAAG